AACTTCGGGAGTGGGTGGAGCCGGCACCCCGGTGTCCAGCGCGTCATCGGCCACTGTGCCGGCGAGGATGCCACGGTAAGGAGCCGCGCGCGGGCGGCTGCCTCCAACAGGTCCTTTTCCTCCCCGGTGGCTCCCAAGGAAGCGAACCAGACCTTCTGCAACCCACTGCCGGCCTCACTCGCCGCGTATCCCGCCCGCTGGTCCCTTTCGTCACCGTCTCCTGCTCATCCCTTTCGCTGCTGTAGCATCCAGGTGCAGACTGATGCACCGCCTTGGCAGTCGGCCCCATGGATGCAGTTGGTAGAGGTGGCCTCGGTTCTGCTCGAATCCAGCTCTTTGTCCCTTGTTCGTGCTGGGCCTGGAGCGCTGCTTTCAGTGATCCGAGCGGCCCCGGTCGTCCCCTCTCTGGCGGGTGGCTTCTGCCCTGCAAGGAAGGGTTAAGCGGGAGCCCGCTTCGAATTTGCTTCTGCAAAGAGCTGGGGCGGGTGGTGGTTAAAACAAGGAGCTTTTTAGCATTTTGCTTTTCCTAGGAGGGAACTCTCTGGAGACTTTTGTTACAGGTTTCTAATGAAAAAAAAAAAAAAAGTGGTTTGCTGCTGCTCCTACAGTTTGTAGCCACTTGGCTGCAGCTACTGCCTGCGTTTCAATAGCCTGGAGGGGAGGGAGCGGGGAGGAAAAACGCTTGCAAAGGGCACCCATCGCCTCCGAGGCTGTTGTTTGTGTCTGCGGTTTCCCGCAAAGCCACCTTGTGCAGGAGCGCATCCAACGGGAACGTGCACAGCACCCCAGGGCACCGCAGGTTATAAAAGCGGAGCCGCCTCCGAGCTCTTCGGCGTTACGCGCGGCAGAGAGCAAGCCGAAGCGCTGAGTGTCGGGCGCCCGCGGCTCGCACGGCTTCAGGAAGGGCAAGGGTTGCTAGTGCCTGGGTGCATTTGCTTGGGGTCACCGGCTCTGTGGTCACTCACTCTTATTCACCTTAAAGTGCTGCGATGAATTTCCAGGCTCCTGCCCCCTTCCAAGAAAAGCGCTGAACAAACGGCTTTTCCCACCCGAAGGAAGGGCATGAGCCAGGTTTTCCTTTCCTTTCCTGTTGAAACTGGCCAGTTGAAACAGAAGCCGGAGGGGTTCTTAGCGCTCCCGTCCCTCAGCCCTTTGAAACCTACCCTAGAAATTGAAATGTGTTTTGGTCCTACGTTTGCCTCCCGTCTTTGCAAGGGAGATGGAACGACAGCGCGCACCATGGCAAGCACAGTCTTCGAGTGCTCTGAAATTGTCCATCCCTTGCTGAGCTGAAAGGGAATTGATGCCTGTTGGCCAGCTCCCCTGTGGCAAATAACATTTTACTGCCAAAAAAAAAAAGGCTCTCAGGCTCATTCAGGGCTAGAAAGGCTGGCCTAAACCCTGCCAAAGCCTGGCAAGATTCATTCGGTGCTGCACGATACCCCAGCTGGGAGAGCGCAGTGGGAGGAAAGGGCAGTGATTAAAAATGTAGTTCAACGTGTTTTAATCCCTGGTTCTCAAATGGCTCGCGTCCTTTGCGGGGTTGTCATCAGCACCACTCGTAGGCTGGACCTCTGTGCAAATGTGCGCCAGGAGCAGCTTGTCCATTTACAGGGATTATCCCGTAAATTAGAGCCATGGCTGCCCAGCGTTACGAGCCAGCGTTGAGGGACTCGCCAAGCCCTTACTTCCCTGCCAGGCCACTCCAGAAAACACCCTGCTTGATGATGTGGGAGCAAATCCATCACAGGAGGTTTGCAAGAGGGCTACCCGAGAAGCTCTCCTGACATCTCGGGTGTTCAGCACGCCCACATGGTGCTGGTGAGGCCAAGGGTGCCAAGGCCAGCGTAGGCACACGTTGGGTAACTCCTACTTGAGTTTTACCCTAAGACACCCCCGCTTACCTGGGTAGTAGACCACAAAGTCAGTAGGTTGTGCATAAACATCATATGGCGCTTCTCAGAGTGTAGCTCCCACCTTTTTCTCTCCGTCTCCTCCACTGAGCTCCTCAGAGATTTCCGAGAACTCTTTTTTTACATATATTTTGGAGTACTTTTTGAATACTGAGTCAACACGCTGCCCCTTGCTTTTCCTTTCTTCCCCGTTCCCCCCTCAAACATTCCCTCCCACGCTGGCACAGCCTTGCAGCAGGCACCATCAGATGCCTCCCCACTCATTCCGATCTTCCTCCCTCTTTCTTTCCCTTTCTCACCATCTGCCAACGACACCAGGGAAGGCAACCAGCAGTGAGACTTAACGTCTCAGTGAAACATCCACAAAGACTCATCTTTGGACCAAGGGCAGAACGCTACCAGTGCTGGAGGCGCTCGTAAATTCACACCCTGCCCACAGCCTTACTTTGGCAATCCTTTAGGGTCTTTCATCCTTTAGGACTGCAAGGACAACACCAGAAAGGGTGATATGTGTAGAAATCTCAGCAAAGCAAATGACAGATCTTGAAGGTAAAGGAAGCCTGGTTTGGGCAGTTGAGTATGAGTATTAAAAAGAGTAATCCCACTGAGCTGAGAGGGACTGGAGCACCCAGGGCTGTACAAAAGAAGTGCACCTTGTTCTCGTTTCTGGCATTCAGGTTTTTCCTCCATGCACTGAAATGCCTTTTTTTTTTTTAATTTACTCCTTCCCTCATAGCCTCTGGCATTTTATGGCTTTCATAAGCCTCTAAATTATTCCATAGGGCTTTCTTTCTCTGGTGCACCTGTAGCTATTTTCCTCTCTCCCTCCCTATGCTCTAACTTCTCATATGTCATTTGCTTAACCTCAAATTAAATGACAGATCAGCTCTCCTTTTTTTCTCCCTTCTCATACTTCTCCCACAGCAAAACTGCAGCTGCATCTGAAGTCTTCATGTCGGATTAAAGTTTCTGTTGATTTTGGAGGACTTTGGAACCAAGCCTGTAGGTTGTTTTTTTGCTGGTTTTTTTTTTTGGTTTTTTTGTTGTTGTTGTTTTTTAAACACAGGAATTAGCGTTTTAATGGAAGAAAGTTCCCAGAAGGACCAGCTGGACACAGGGAGCACTTTCTAGTCTGCTTTTCCTGTTGAGAGCAATAGGCAAGAGTGGAGCTGGCCTCTCCAGTTTTCAGGCAGTGGGACAAAGAAAGGTGATAGACTCCAACTTGGTACTTCAATTTGTGTGTGTGTGTGTGTGCCTCAGCTTTATTTCATCATCAAATGAATAATACAAAGATTTCAACAAGCAGATGAAAGAGGACTAAAACATAGGGATATGGTAAACTCCTTGGTCCTGGGACCAAAACACCCCACGGACAGGGCACAGCACTTCAGTGGGGGGGAAAAAACTGTCAGGCTTCAACATACAGAAGAAAAATGTTATTCCAGCAGGATTTCCTGCTTTCTCAGCTGCAAGAACGTGTGCTCACGGTGGGATTTATTTCACAGTTTTGTGTTTTTGGTGGATTCTGTAGCCAAAGCCTAACACATTACCTGTGTCTGTTATCAGGTGTTTGGGAGCCGGCAGTGGAACACATCCAGTAGTCGAGGCACTGAAGCAGTCTCCCAAGAGGTTAATGAACGGGTGACAGGGACAAGCTGCTGCACTGCATAGAGCAGTAGAAACAATAAGAAGTCTCATTGCATTTCTTGATAATTATCAGCTCTTCACAGTTGCTAACCCATTTAGCGTATTTCAGACTATTGATTAAAGCTGCTGTTTGATTTAGGAAGTTTTTAGGTTGCAGTCTTTGCCCCAGTGGGCTTTTGTAGCAAGCTCTTTATAACAATTGCTTAAAGGTCTGGTGAAAAACCAAGTCTTTGCTTGCTTCTTTGAGACTTTCTAGAGACGTTTCCACTTGGACTTGCAAGGAAAATTATGGAGATGGAATTACATATGTAAAATCTAGAATACAAAGCAGTCAAGACAACATTCAGCTATTCATTTTATAGAAAAAAAAAAAAGATCAACACATTCTTCCAGATGAGCTGAGTCTTTGCTCAGCTATGGTAATATGGTAGCACTGGGGACCTCAGGACTGGCCCATGCATCCAGTAGTATTTCTCTATTATCACAGTCCCATCTGGGCTTGGTCACCTTCAAGTTTCCATACACGACCACTCCAGACAATACACTATGAAAATGGGATTAGAGACATTCAGCTTCTATGGGAACAGCTAAAGAAGAACCATTCCCTCCGTTTCTCTGTGCTCGTTCTGTCATTTGATCCCTCCATCTTCATCTCAGCTGGAAATTTCTCAGCTATCACCAACATGGGGCAAATACTGTCTGTTCCTTCCTAGCCTGCACTAAAGATAAATACCAAGCCACACATACTATGAAAACAAAAATCAAGTCGTTCTCTCCAATTGCCTCCCAGCAGCCTTCAAAGGGTGTTTATATCCTCACGGGGATTTGTACAAATTCCTATCTGCCTACCTTCCAAAGGAATCAACAGAATTTAAGTGTTAGGAAAGTTCTTGAGGTGCCTCTTCATCATGTGTTTAGAGAGTACCCCAAATTTCACCATTCTCTTCCTGCTAGATAAACAATTTTAGCAGCCCCTAGTAGTATGGAACTGAACAGCAATGGGAGAGACAGGAGTCTTGCATCACGCATTCAGAATAACACAGAAACTGTTGCAGAAAAGGAGAAGTGCTGGAGATGGACGGGATGGAGACGGGTAGGAATCAACCAGCTTCTGAATTTCACCCAATTACTCATATTTCTATTCCAGGATGCATTCCAAGCCTTTCATATCAATCCCACCTTGGTGCGAAAGTTTCTCAAGCCATTGCTTATTGGAGAGCTCGCTCCAGGGGAACCCAGCGAGGACCGAGACAAGAATGTGAGTATTTGTTTTAAACTGGGATTTATAGGGCTTTTTTTTTTTTTTTGGAGGGGTGGGATTGGTCTCAGGCTGTCCTCCAAGCTCCTATGTGAAAAAAAAAAAAAAAAAAAAACACTTGGCAAATTATAAAGCCTTTTTCCTTACAGGCAGATCCAGAGAGGGAGAGAAGCGCTCGGTGACGTGCGCATCCCCGTAGAGATTAAAATGTGCGTGGGAGGGAGGTGACACATCGGTACAAGCCTCTCCTTTCTGCACAGCCACCAGCTGCTTATGGTCATCACGCCTGATTTCTAGCAGCCCATTCCAGATGGCTGGACTGGAACGATGCCATCCGGAAGGGAAACACGGCCCAAGGGATATGCCCTGGGAAACGTGTGCCAGCCCTTGGGGCTTGCGTCCCTCCTGCTTTTCCTTTCCCTTGGGACCAAGCTCTGAAACACATGTCAGGGGGAAAGGGGAAAGAGAAGGAAGGAAGGATTTCCAAAGGGAAGTCCCTCATCGCCTGGAGAGGACAAATCTCTTCCACCATTTGCCCCACAATTCCCCTTTGGCAGAAGACCCCAGGGTGCTTCAAAGCCGAAGCAAAACAGATGTCCCGTTACAGCAGCTGAGAGAGCAGCCACCCAGCTCCCCGTGCACTCCGTGTCCTCACGGCCAGCCCCGTGTCGCTCCCAGACGACCCGCTCATTCATTATTCAGGCACTGGGCACCACAGGGCTAACTCCTGCCCCGAAACCCTATCTCACTCTGTTATTCTTGGCTGCCTGGGGTTATGGTGTATCCGTATCACCCACAATAGAAGCGACAACTGGAACTGGCTCTCACCCCGGAGTGCCCTTCTTGCACAATTGCGCGCGAGCTGACCCACATATAGCCGTTCTGATATTTTGTGTTCATCACCAGAGCTCAGAAACTATCCCTAAGTAATGGGGTTGAATTCCCTCTTTCTCCAGCTGGCTCTCTAGCACTCCTAAAGCTCATTGGGACCAGCATGAGCAGCTGATGCAACTCTCAACACAGCACGGTAGCAGTGCCAATTCACCGGATTCAGGCTTGAATTACCCACCTAGCTCAAGGTGCAGAAGGTCAGGAGATGGGCTCAGACCAGCCTGGCCTGAGCTTATTCATAGGGAAGTGGGATGGAGAACTTCAATGTGGTACAAAGGTTCTTACTTATGGGGTAGGCCAGCGATTGCAGGAAACAGCCCCGCTCCTTAGAAAGGAAACTTAAGACTTCCTAAAGCACATTCAGACCTGTTAAAAGATTCATGCTGGATCTTGTAAATCTATTTTGCAGTCCCAGCTGGTGGAGGATTTCCGGACCTTGAGGAAGACAGCAGAGGATATGAACTTATTCAGAGCAAATCCTTGGTTCTTCACCTTTTACTTGGGCCATATCCTTGTAATGGAAGCTTTGGCTTGGTTAACAGTCTCATACTTGGGTACTGGCTGGATCGCAACTCTCCTCCTTGCCTGCATCCTTACGACTTCCCAGGTGAGAAACAGTAGGCACAGAGCCTACTGGACACCCAAATCACCTTCAAGGAGACCGGTACATGCTGCACTTTTGTGTCAGCTTCATTCACAAAACAGCTGCACCACCCTGTGCCTTCTGGCCACCCCACCCTACCACTGCCCTTCGCATAGCTTCCTACCTCTGGGGCCTTCCCTTCCACACACCCTTCACCACAGCAGAATCAGAGATCTTCCCCATCTTCCCCTTGACTGACACTTCCATTGATTCTCTGTCCCGCGCGTGCGCACGCACGGTCACACAACTTGCCTCCCACCTTTATTTCCCTTTTTTTTTCCCCCCCTTAACTATGATTTCAACCCACTTTCTAACTACTTCGTTTTCCTTCCTCCCAGGCCCAGGCAGGGTGGCTGCAACATGACTTTGGACACCTTTCCGTCTTTAAGAAGCCTGTGTGGAACCACATAGGCCACAAGTTCGTGATTGGGCACCTGAAGGTAAAGGTCATTCTGTCCCCAGGGCACCGTAGAAGCAGCTGCATCCACTCACTTGGACTGGGCCAAAGCAGGGGACAGCAGATCTGAGCCATTCCACAGTGAGCCAATTCGGGGAGAAGTTAGTGGCCCATTTCCCCGTGTGCAGAAGAGATAAGAGCCTGGCCAAAGCTGTTGCAGGTCACAGTAACTCCACAAGCTTCAGTGGAACTCCACCTGTTTATCATAGCTAAAGCTCTAGCTCCTTAAATTGCACAAAACTCTATTTCAACACCCTGCCCTCCAGGCTTAGTGATGTTTAAGTGCCCCGTACAGCTATATCCTGGTCACTCGAGATAACCTCAGACCTTCTATCCTGGGTGAAGTCCAATGCAGTGTCTGTCCACCAGCAGAAGCAACTTCTAGGGGGGAGGACAAATCTCTGACCATTCTTACAAGTCCAGTTTGCCTTGCCTCACTCTTTACAGTCACAGACAGGAAATGGAGACCAGTGGGAATAATTAGTAAGGTAGAAAAAAGAGGCAAGCCACCCATTCAACCACAAATAACAGCTTCACTTGTGGGAAGACACATAATTCACTAAGCTACAGCTGTTTTGCCTCTTCTGACGTCTTGGAAGATCCTTAGCCAGGGCGAAATAGGCTGGCCTTACTGGTTTTAGTAGGCTCACACCAGCAGTCTCATAGCAACTGAGAGTTTAACCACGTTTTATTCCTATTTGAAAAGTAACAGTTTGTGCAGGATGAAAGTAATCCTACCATTAGAAGAGCTGGGTCTTTGCATGGCTTAACTGCTTGTTCTTGCATCTGCCCAGGGTGCCTCGGCAAACTGGTGGAACCACCGTCACTTCCAACACCATGCCAAGCCCAACATATTCAAGAAAGACCCAGATGTCAACATGCTGCATGTTTTTGTCCTCGGAGATTCACAGCCCGTTGAGGTAAGGAGGGCTTCAGAGAAGGCTTCTCCAAAAGCAGGGGTTGGCTAGTGTTGAGACACATACAGTGTGCTGAAAATACTAAAAAAAAAACAAGAAGAAAAAGAAAATAGTGACTTGTCTTGTCCTGGGCTTGCATCTGTGCTGTCCAATAGGCATTTGGCCCTCTTTATCTTGACACATTTTGGGTTCAAGAGCAAGGCAGACTGCACAATTCCCTGTCCATTTCCTATATTGACCACAATAAGGGAAATTAATTCCTTGCCTGCATTTCTGAGGCCACCAGCCAACAAAGCTGAGCTGAAAGGGTAAAGTGTTTGAAAGGTTCTTGCTGGTATAGGATAGCCACGAATGGCTGTATCCCTATGTTACTCCAGGGATAAGTCAAGGACTGAGGGCCCCTTGACCACCTAAGTCAGTGGGGCTACAGTAGATTACAGCACCCACCCTAGAGATCAGCTTTTAGCCTATGAAAAAAGTAGCTCCTGGCACATATTGGAGGCCTGGTGTCTGGACACATACATAGAATGTCTTGTAGACACAAAACTACTAAGAGGCAGAAAAGTCAGTTGTATATGATTTTAAAAAATGCTTTAAAAAGTCGCTATCCAGAAGACGTAAATCAATATCACGCTCTTGAATGTGTCCCATTTGAAAGTCCTGTGCCTGATAAAGTAGCTTAAAAGTAGCTTGGGCTTCTACCACTGGAGGAAAAACTCTGCTTTCAGCCATGCACCACAACAAGGAAAACTGGAGCATCAGTGTGTCTTAATATTCTTTCACATCCAGCCTTCCCTGAAATCTCACTGCAGTGTGAATTGACTGAGCCCTCCAAAGATCACCAGGAAGCACTTTCCACTATCTAACCAGAATTCCACGTAATGTGGTCGTCACAGTTGCTCACTGTGAGCTACATGGAAGATATGAATTCCTTTATGCCAGTGTTCACTAAGCAGACTTAATCTGTCACTTATTTGCACTCCTGCCACTCTTGCTGCGAGTCTATCCTTACTTTCATAATCTGTCAGTAATCTCCTGCGATTGCAGCAGAACTTTAGTGCAATATGCTGCAGGAGTCGGGTAAAGCCCTGTCTCAGCTCTCCTGGCCATAGTGCTACCAGCTCTTAGTTCCACTTGGTTCAGCTGATACACTTGGTGCAGCTGAAGTGTGAGCTCCCACCAACCTGGACTCTCCATGTAAGCTTCTTGTGTGAACACTCCTGGTACCCCTCAAAGGACATTTCTGCCTAGTTTTGGTTTTTAACTAAGGAGCCCAGGTGTTCTCAGCTCCCTCTTTTCACTGAAGAGAAATGGGCACCTGCAGGAAGCAACAACCAAAGGTCCAACTTTGTCTTTGGAGAAGCTTCTGCGTTTCTACGTGTCTGCACGTGGACCGCAGTCATGTAGGACTCAGTGCAGAGTAGCTGTCACTGACAGTGCTCTATTTCCAGTCTCCTACATGCCAAACTGCGGTGACACAGATGTTTTAGATTTAATTATGTCCATGTGGTTTTCCATAGTGACAGCAAAGGACCACTTTAGCTTTCCCAGTCTTGGTAGAACAAGATTTACAAGACCCGGCTGATGGCAGGAGTTCATAGTGCTGGTGACTGCATAAGGCAAAATGAAACAGTGGTCAAGACATTTGCATGGAAAACTAACTGAGGTTCAATGTCCTGCTCAGCCACGGGTGTCCCGTGTAATGACTTACCAAAGGTCCGACCTCTTCATGTCCTACATTTGTAAAGGTAACGATGGAGATAACAGCAAGTTTTATCACAGACACAGGAATAGCAGAAGGTAGAGAAATACACAGAAATGCTATCAGGCTGTCAAGTGACAAAAAAAGATTATCTATGTATCATGCCAGAACATGTTAAATAGGAATTTATATCTAGGCAGGAAGGTATTCCCTTATTGGGAAGGTGGAATATAAAATACATGGGTATAAAATGTTTGCAATGCAGTATGGCCCTAATCTCTATCCAGGACCAGCCTACATGTTTCGAAATGCTCTCACAACACTCTGGAAAATGCTGGAGGCAAAAGAAGGGTTAGATAACTTTGCACGAGTTAATTCCTGATGATATTTAACCACACCAAACACTTTTTATCTTTATTGGTGTGGGAATTAGGTCAAAACTCTCCAGTCCGAGCTAAAGAGAGTTAATAAATAAAGAAGTATTGCAGAGAATATCCTCTTACCAATGGGTGTCATGATCCAAGACTGAACTTTCTCCTCTGTGCCCTACAGTATGGCAAGAAGAAGCTGAAGTACCTGCCGTACAACCATCAGCACGAGTACTTCTTCCTCAGTGAGTACCCGCACCACACTCTTCGTTTCTCCCTATGGTGAGAAGGGTTGAAGGCTCTTTACTGTCCAGTCCCTGCTGCAGTAGTGGAGCAGATCCTTACATCTCTGCTCATCCCTCCATTCCTAAGGCTCGCAGTCCCCTTCATGGGTTACTCGTACCGGTCCCACAGTCAGTGCAGTAGATCCTCAGTGATATCCAGGCATCCTTATGGTGCCACCACAGCCACATGAAGCAAGGCAAGGAACTGAGACTGGGAACTAATCTCAGCTTGCAAGTGGCTCCATAGAAGCATCGCGTGTCACCACTTGATGCTTTGTGATAGCTAAAGATCAATACCAGTTCCCAAACCACTGGCTTGCTCTCATGTCAACGTATCTCTGCACTTCCTCAGATGGCTGAAACATTTCCGTTTGCTTTGCAGTCTTCCCACCTCTGCTCATCCCCGTGTATTTCCAAATCCAAATCATCTGGACCATGATCAGGCACAGGTTCTGGGCGGTGAGTGAAATGTTTTCCCTGTTCTCGTGGGGCCCGGCTGACTCCTCAGGCGTCACACCTGAGCCAGGAGAAGGCCACTCATCTCTCCGGTGCAAGGGCAGCTGCCAGAGGGAGGATGGACAGGGCATGCTTTGCTCTACTAATTATCCAGCATGCCCCAAATTACCAGTAAGATGGTCTGAAGTGAGATAGGTCAAAGCCTAATGCCTTCTCTCTTCTCCTAGGACCTGGTCTGGGCTATTAGTTACTACATGCGCTACTTCATCACGTACATCCCATTCTATGGCGTTCTGGGATCCCTGTGTCTCCTCACTTTTGTCAGGTAGGAGATAAAGGGCCTCCCTTCTGCTCTCCCTCCACTCCAACATGAGAATAACAGGCTCTCAGCTACATTGTGTGCCATGGGCCTTCCTTCTGTAGGTCGTCCGCAGACATCTTCCCCATTCTCTCTTATCCTGAGGATTTTCACTCCTTTGCTCTCATCTCCCAGTTTTACCTGCTCTCAGCAGAACTGGGTCTGTTGCTTGGCACCTGTCTCAGTCCTTTCGGCGGCTCAGGCAGCATTCCCATTTCTTTCCTCATTGCGTGTTCCTACATGCTGCCCAATCCCGACACACATACTTTCCATTTTTCCTCCAAAGCAACATTTCAGCCCTCCTTAAATCTATGGAGAAATGTTTTTTAATATATCCTCATTTTAACTGCTCTTGTAGCCCTTTGTGATTTCCTGGCCTCACAGTGTGCTGCTCCCAGTGCAGAAACATTTTTCTACTTGCTGCTTTTTGACTGATGCATGGAGAGTTCAGTGAGAGACCTAAAAACATGAGCAATGAGTATGAACCACTGTGCAAAAACATTGACAGAATTGAAAGTTTCCCTTCCACACAACTTAATATCTCTGTTCTTGATTTGTTTTCCCGATGGAAAACATGGGAGGAAGAAGTGTTACTGTTGTTATTAGCTGTATGTTGTAGCTTTTAGGAGGTAGTATTGCTTTTAACGCTATTATAGGGGTTAATGCTGCTTTTAGCGCTAATGGATATGTTATGCTTTTTAGGCAGATTGTTAATTATAACCAAATCAAGAGTTGTTGGCTTTGTGGAACAGCAGATCAACTCGATGCACCGGTGTTAGGTATTAAGTGTTGGGATGGTGTTGTTGATCCTATGTTGCATTCTACTAGTTGTGCCTTGCTTATTGAAATGTGTATCAAATATGATTGAGAATGCTGTAAAGAAGGTTTGGCTGGCTACAATCACTGAGCAAAACGGGTTTGATGATTCCACTAATCTTGTGCATTTTGGTGGTCGTTCCCTGCCTGATTAAGTGTCTGAGACAGACGGTAGACAAGGCGATCAAAGACATATTTTGGGTGAACCATCAAGAATCCTGGCTTGCTCAAAAACAAGAAGGGGGAATTGTGGGATTCCTGAAGGCCAGTGGTCATGCTGTGAGCAAGCCAGATAAGGGCAGAAGGGCGCCAGACCTAGATGAAAGGGCAGAAGGGCGCCAGGCCTAGCTGAAAGGGTGGAAGGACTGCTGACTAAGAGATAAGGAGATCTTGCGGAGAGTCAGATAAGGAGGCAAAGAGTTGACGCAAATAAGAGCTAACCTATCCTGAGCTCAAGCTTTGCAATATGCATGATCCTAATTAAGCTATGTATAAAAGTGCACACTGAATGTTCAATAAACGAGTCTTGTCGATGACCATATGGTGTCGCAGTCTCCCTTTCTCCTACAAGTGAGAGACCTAAAAACATGAGCAATGAGTATGAACCACTGTGCAAAAACATTGACAGAATTGAAAGTTTCCCTTCCACACAACTTAATATCTCTGTTCTTGATTTGTTTTCCCGATTGCAAAAGACTTTGGTTTTAAGGGGGAAAGAAAAAGGAGTTTCAAAAGACATTGACTTGTGTAAGTGTCTAGCCAGCCTCTTTGGTGTGAAAACAAACCAAAAAGCTAATAACAAATATCCTGCTACTCTACCACTTTCATATTCTGATTAAGCTAAAAATGCGAGAAACAAAGCATTCCTCTTGTAAAATTGTTTCCAGTTTCTCACGCTTCATCAGGAGACACTTCCCGATTAGCAGTAGTTTCCTTATAAATCAGACAGTGAGGAAAGAGCTCTGGGAGCATTATAAAGCAATGCAACGTTGTGAGCAGTCCTCCCATTGCCCAGAGAAAGCATGATGATGCCAAAGGTATAAAGCCAGATAAAAGCACTTCCATTTTGTTTTGACCCCAGAGCTGAATGATCACTAGGTGCATCACATAACAGGACTCATTTGTCCCCTAGTAGATAGACCAAAATACCAAGCAGAAAAAACACCCATCAAAACCACCTGTGGATTTCAAAACAACCCTGAGAACTTCCTTCACTTAGCTCACTCCTTTCCATAGCTGTGTGAGATTTACTGCTGATGAAAGCAGAGATTGAGATAATCTGTTCTCTTTCAGAGAACAAGCCCAAAGACTACATCAAGGACAGCTTTCCCTGTGTTGGGGGTTGACGTGTAGACGTTTGTCTTGCTAACCTGCATCTCAGCCCCAACACAGAGCAATGACTCTGGACAAAAAGAAAGTGGATTTCCATAGACTGTTCTACAGATGTTGGAAATGCTGGATTTTAAAAATAAATGTAGATCCAGCAAGTAACTGGAAAGATAAAAGCAGTTCTACTGAGCCATTTCGAAATGAGGGCTTAATTTGCTCAAGTGACCGGATCATCTTTATTTAGAGGAAGGGGAAGTAGTGCTCTGCTTTTGAGGAAGAGAGATTAAGCAGAAGGTTAGCCCAGCAGGACGTCGTGGTTGTAGTGAACTGCAGTGGCTCTAGTCCCTAAACTACAAAAAGAGGAAGAGAAAAGCAGAAATGATTCTCTCCACTTTCTATAGAAGGACCCGTTCTTTGTTCTGTATCTTGGAGAAGTACTTTCCCCGCGGGCAATACCTCCTGCTGGTCCCTGTAAACCCCACTCTCTTGACCTTGCATCCTGGTCTGCAACATAAAACGTCATGTTTTCTTCTCTGTCATTGAAGGTTCCTGGAGAGTCACTGGTTCGTGTGGGTCACCCAGATGAATCACATCCCAATGGAAATTGATAGCGAGAAGCACAGGGATTGGCTGAGTTCTCAGGTAACCGGGAAGGAGATGGATACATCTGCCTCCACTCACTCCAAAATGGACCAGGAACATATTCAAAGAGTGGTTGCATTTTCACTGCCTTTCGCCATCTCCCAAGACTCTGTACAAGTAGAACATCAGCATATTCTCCCTAGAGCAAGTAATGCAGATTCAAGACCTGCAAGTCCAAACTTCTTTGACAAAATAGGACAACCGATTGTATATTTTACTCCTTCAGAGTAAAGAAGTGCGGTTGGACTTCCTTATGTGATATATGTTGCTATAAACACATGAAGAAATAGGAGACCCTCAACGCAGCTCAGCATGCTAACTTAATGCTCATGTAGATCTCTATGCTCTCCTTATGCTGAAAATACATCAAGCCCCATTGAAAAGCGAGCTCAGTAGATTTCTAAACTTTATGTCTTGGGAATAAGCCAGCTGCTTACAACCTCTATTTAATAATGCCAATGACATCCATTCTGCTGAACTGGTGCCTCTTCTTTGAGGTGCTCCAAGTCCTGCTTAGACCTAGAGGATAAGGAGAGCAACTTTTCCACTGGCCCTGTGAATCTGGTAAAACTGAGCTGAAAGAATAAACCACTTCATGCATTAATTACTTTAATTAGGAATGGTAGTTATTAATGGGGCCTTGAACTGAGCTTACAAAGTCCGACTGTTAATTTCTCTCCTATTGAACCACGCTTTAGTCAAGCACCTTCAGGAATAGACTCACCAGAGTTATGGGAGCACTCATAGGATTAACTTAGGCATTTGTCTATGTGCTTTTTGTAACTGGAGTTTGTAGACCAAGTCAGAGGATGGTTTAGAGAGAGAGAAATAAGATCTGTGTGTGACAGAGTTAAATGGTGAGTGAAGAGAAGTCTCCTTAACCCTGCTCTGGTTTTGTCCTGCATCTTATGGGGATGAGGAGGGTATATCTGCTGTGGTCACCATGTGGATTCACAGCTTAACCAGGTAAGAGTATAAGAGGATTTTAAGAAAGTCTACCTACTTTTTACAGTCGTGAATAGCCAGAGTGGCTAGGAGCATGTTTCCATGGCGTTAAGATCTTGCACTTCAGTCAAGCACTCTGGGCAATATCTAGGCAGGACGGGGGAAGGAAGACTTCACCGCTGTTGAACCCCCCAGCAGCACTAGCAAGATAACAAACCCCTGGCCCAGGCAAGAGGAGTTCTGTGCTGATCTCGGGGCGAACGTGCGCTCCTACTCACAGCTGCTTTCTTGCCTTCACAGCTGGCAGCCACTTGCAATATTGAGGAGTCCTTTTTCAATAACTGGTTCACCGGGCACCTGAATTTCCAAATCGAGCACCAGTGAGTATGGGCCCTGAAGCACGTGGCCACTACCAGCTTGCCACAGCCCTGGCCTTGAGGCAAAGGAAAGGCTCCTAAAGGCACATGTGCATGGGATGGGAGAGAGGGTCTTTGGAGAGCTACTGAATATCAAGGAAGAAGGAAAATCCCAAGCTATTTTGGGTTATCTTCTCCTTCTACCACTAAGCATGGTGTGTTTTCCCTCTTGCTGCTAAATACTTCAGCCCTCACTGTCAATTTTAATTCCAAGTTTTAGCTAGTGGTAAGAATCTATCAGTTGAATGACTATGGACTCACATTCCTGCATTCCTACTTGAACTTTAGTGTCCACTTCAGAAATTTCCCTTCCCTGCCTAAGAGCACTTTCAGCATAGTGTAGTGTTGGGGCAGCCATGTGGGACCGTGTACTTTGCTGGGTACCAGGTTTCGGGAAAGATATCGAAACACAGAGCCACATGAACCAGTGGCAATACAATATGGAAAAGAGAAGGCATTTATCGTTAATCAGTCACTCTGAAGAGAAATTAAACCCTCTTTGAACAGCACAGGGAAAGGTGATACCAAATTCTTTATCTGCTTCTCTCTTCCAAAAGGGAGGTCACTGACAGGTCCATTTGACAGGAGACATTTAGTTATTGCTCAAGGAAATGGGCAGCTACCTCAGCAGACAGAGGCCATTGCCCCACTCCTGCTTCCCTCACATCCCACGAGAAGGCGGGTGGACATGCGCGTCCTGTGGGGTTCAGCTCTAGACTTCTCAGGCTTGTTTTCTCTCTTTCCACTTAAGCTTGTTCCCAACGATGCCACGACACAATTTCTGGAAGATTAAACCTTTGGTGAAATCGTTATGTGCCAAGTATGGAGTCCAATACGAAGAGAAGCCTCTTGGAAAAGCATGCATAGACATCGTTGGGTAAGGGCTTTTTAATACCCTTTGTGCCCCACAGTTCATCCTCAGGGGAACACCCCGTCTTTTCTAGGTCAGAAGAATAGTGCTAGAATTCAGGACACTCTAGACCCTGAGAAGCAGCGTGTGGGTGTTTTGTAATCCGATGTCAGCTAGGGTCATGTCCTTCATATCACAGTCCAAGGAGCATCTGCAGAAAAGTTGGCTCTCAGCAGAAACGACACAGCTGTGCTGGCCTAGAGAAGCAACCCCAGCTGCCAACGTGTGGGAAACCGCCTCTGCATCATGGGGCAAGAAGGAGCGTAGTTGTCCACCAGAGCAGCTCCCGAAACCCAGAGCTCCTCTGTGCAAGATGCTGGGGAGATCTGAGCGATGAGATCACAGCTAAACTTCCCAAAAGGAAGGGTTTTTTTATAATACCTTTTCCAAAATACTGCTCATTCATGCCTTAGGCAGCTGGCAGCAAGTCTTTGGGCTGCAAACTGGCATGAGTTGAAGGGGGACAGGTTAGATCACAGCCCATGCTTTGCCTGTTCGAGCCATCCCAGAAGCAAAGGGCTGTTCCTTTTAGGCACTGTTGAGCACTAGGCTTAATAATCCTTATCTGACAGATTCAGTGTTAATTATCCTATGTCAGTTACTCCAAAAAAGTCTGTTTGCGTAACAGAGAACACAGAGAAAGTAGCCTCCATTCCAGGGATCACCACGGACATAATCCGCCTCCGGACAACCTCCCAAGCAGACCAGCCTCACCTACATGCCGAGAGGCTGAAAACTGGCCCAAACCCTCCTTTGCGTCTCCCAACCCAGTGAGCACAGGAAATTGCACGCAATACAGAGCCCCAAGGGGCTGATGCTTCGTGTCCGACGAGACAGTAACCATGACATTCTACAAGTTCTCCACAACCCAGCTCCCTCCAGCAATGACTTGCCCATCTGGTGGTAGGATCACCTCCCGTAGACCATATCAAGCAACATTTCTAGGCAGTTCATACACAGAGAGCAGGGGGAGGACTTAACCCAACACTGTGAAAACCTATGTACATTCAGAGCGCCGGAACCAGACAGCTTCAACCTGAGCTTGCTCTGGTGTAGTCAGAAGGACCTTCTGTGGAGAAAATGCTGCAAAATAAGCGTTTGGGCACCAGGAGAGCCTTGAGAGCATGATCCCTGCCATTCCCCCTGTCCTGTCCCAATTAAGAGGGTCCCCAGACCAAACACAGCCCCTCCAGCATCCTAGTTGTCAATGGGTCTTTTGACCCAAGACAACTTGACTCTGTCACACGTTTGCAGAGCTGATGCAGATAGGAATCCTCCATGAAAATTCCGAGGGAAAAGTGGCGAAACTCCTTCATAGGTGCAGCTTGGATGAGCCCGGGCGGCTCTGCTCAGTGACACTGCTGCTAACTCATGGAAAGGCACAAGGTCACCACAAGGCCATTGGGTGACACAAGGCAGGTGACACGAGGGACATCAGCCAAAAATCTTGCTCTGAGTCCAAAACTGGACATGTTGTAAACCAAAAGAGGTCCGTCCTTTTGCTCTAGGTGTCTACCCCTGGGAAAGGGCACTTGGTGTCCCAAGGATTCCTACCCACCTTCAGCGACGGGCTCTTCCTTCGCAGGAAGGGAATGACGGAGACCAAGCACATTGCTCTCCCTTTTCTTTCCGCAGGTCCCTAAAGAAATCCGGGGATCTCTGGCTGGACGCTTACCTCCATAAGTGATTTTGCATCTTAATGGGGAGAAGTGAGTGCCAGGGAGGGATGGGGGTGGGAAGGGGTAATCACGTGCGTGTCTTTTCCTATCAGAATTTGGTCTGTATCCATGTGCACCGTTTGAGGGGAGCTCCCCCATCTTGTGAGCTGTTACTGGGATGGGCTCAGACAACCTGTTTAATCCAGACAGATTGGGAAAAAAAATGCATTTTTGGTACATCTTCAGACAATGAAACACAATACCCTGATGGCACAAAAAAAAAAACAAAAGAAAAGTAGAGCGGGAGAGGACGGAGAGAAGGAGTGTATAAAATGTGGGCACCCTCCTTCTTCTCTTCACCAAAAAAACTAATGGTAATAGTTAATTCTAGCTCTACCTAAACACACAAGCCCTCAGTTCACAGACATTATTTGCCAGGCTTCAGAAAACCTCTCCACCTGACCAGCATTTGCAGTCCAAGGACCCCCAAGTCAGTTTATGGCTCCCTTCTCTTTCCCACCTTTGTGCAAGGGAGCTGAGAGCAACTTCTTTTTGTTAGTAAGGAAAAGGCCAGCAGGCCCCCAGCACCATCTCAACAGGGAATTCAGGCAGGCGGTTGCTCCCTGGCACCCTGCCCGTGGGAATGGTGCTCCACGGGCACTGGCAGTTGCTGCGTCGCGTGGCTCTGCCGGTGCCCGTGGCCCTGCTCTGGCCTTGCCTTCCTTCCCTCTCTAATCATGACATCGCTTTAGGAAAGGCTGCGAGCCTGGTCCTACACTGCTAACATCCCAGCGCTACTTCTCATTCAGGACCGCATCCACAGTTGTATTTTTGCAGCCAGCCTCTATTTCCAGGGGTCTGCAGGAGAGCTCTGGGCTGGGGCAACGAGTCACAAAAAGAAGTCACAAGGGGCGATGTTACCCATTGCCCATCAGTTCTTTGCAATGCTCCAAATGGCCTTTCCTAAATCTGGGGAGAGCAGCTGGGCAGCAGGCTGCAGAAACACCCAGCATTGCCTGTTTGCACATGCCTGCCCGAAACTGCAACCGTTTCTGCTTGCCAGAGGCCAAGGGCAAAGCCATGCAAGGGGCTTGGGAACAAGCACCAGGGAAAAGAAGTTGCTCCTGAAAAAATAAAGTTAAAAAAGCAAGAAAAAGAGCTGCCCACCCCTTCAACCAGCCCTGAGGTCCTGCAGGGACGCAGCTGAGAACAGGTCCAAGCAGTGCTGGTGAAACGAAACATTCTGTAGAAACCTCTTACAATCTGTATAAAGGTCTTGTTCTCCGACCAGTTCCTAATTACCAAAATCCGGTTGGCCAAGCTAACGGCTCATCCAGGGGTGCAGCTGAGCAGCTTCCAGTTGTTCCTCTAACAGGGAGCCTGATCCAGAGTCCACTGCGGATAAGGAGTGCGCTTTAGTGCGCTTTAGTTGTTTAAAACGTGATGCAGTGGAAAAGAGACAAACATATTCTTTAGTTTATGATGAAGTGGTTTCCAAAGTGGTTCCTAACTCCTGAAGACTTCAGAAAATGTAATCCCAGCCTTCAGCTTTGGAGAATAAAATGAGATTAGGGTGTTTGCAGGCTGGGAAGGCATAGGCAGGATTGTCACCAAACCCAGCTACTGACACTTAAGGCTTGTTAAAGGGCTTGTCATTCGGGTGTTCTTGCATATCTCTAAGGTAACAAAAACCTAAATATCACCAGGAAGGCTTAGGATGAAAACCTACTACTGCAGGGTGTCTGAAGCTCAACCAGACTTTGAACAGCTTTTATAGCTGATTTTCTGATAGTATAAACTAGAACATCCTTCCAGACACTGTAACTTCTCCAACAGGGAGTAACAGCTTAGTTTGGAATTGTGGCTAACCATAACTCTTAAGACTGCCTTAATATCACTGTCTCCTTCTGACTCCCTGAATGTATCTCACTGTCACTGCACCAGCATGGGACAACCACAGAGACGCTGCAGTATCAGCAATGTTACCTTCTTCATCTTCCTTTTTCGCTCCTCCAGTTCTCGTTTTCAGAGCAAAATCTTTTTTTCTGAATACAGGTGCCTCTTCTTCGTTAGCTCTGTCCCCCGCTTTAATTCCCCTCTCTCCTACCTTTCTTCTTTGGAAATTGTTTGCCTTTGAATGCTTAGAGAAGCCTCAGGAGACTGGTAGCTCAGCCTAGGTCAAACAACCCTCCTCCAGCAGCTTGCCTTCCTGGAAAGACTGTTTTTCCCTAAAAAGAACAAGTTTCCAACCTGATAACGTGACCTGGCCAGTGCCTGGGACACAGCAGCTACAATGAGGCTGCCTCAAAGACTTGGAAGCGTTCCAGGAGCGCAACGGCGATGGCACAATCTGCAGGAGGGAAGGCGAGCCCTGCGCCCAACGGGCATTTCCTCCCGCTCCGCACCACAACTTTAGCACAAGATATCGAAGGGAAGGAAGGAGGACCGAAGAGCCTGATGTTAGTTCTCCCTTGGGCTCCCAGACCTGCTGCTGGTTCCTTTCAGACCCTCAAAAATTCCCTTTTTTGATGCAAAATGTTCGGTTGCTAAAATACAGAAATAAAAACCAACAAAAAAAAGTGCAATGTTTATAGCCAGAAGTGATTTCCAAGTGTCATGTGTTGCTCTTGCAAGATGAAAATGGCCTTCCTGCAAAGAAGAGCAGGTCACCAACTGCTGGGGTAACCGGCAGGTTGTTTTCTTGTTCGTTGTACGTACGTGCCCAGAGAGTTGGTCTTGTGAAAACATGAAATGCTGGTTACCCTGACGGGTGAAGCCTCGATGGCAGTTTTGCCTCTATAGTTTCCTTCCCCCTTGAAAGCCCAATCCGCTCTCCCTTGCTTTAAGCTGTTTTAGATGTACCCTGATCCACAAGCTCTCCATGCTTTAGTGGGATCAAGTGCAGTGGATTCCTGACAAAAATCCCTTAGAAGCCAAGGAAAACCTCCTATGTTCTAATTCCCAGTAGTACCACGCTAAAAGCTCATTTAACCGAAACTTCATCGACATGTAGATGCTTTCAGTAAAACTGCAAACTTAAGCCATAGCTGGATGTAAAAGTTCACACGACCTTGCTGGGCTTTGGCCCTAACTGGGAGAAAATGCAGCAAACACACGAAAACAAAGCGAAACAAAACAAAACCCTCTGAACGGCCCTGGAAGCTTGTCAGAGCTTGCATTACATGAGCCCTTGGCAATGGGCAGAGGAAACACACGGCTGTTTTGGGTCGGATAACAAAATAGCAGGCAGGAAAGGGCTGGTTTTGCCTCTGTCCCGTGACTCCTTAGCGGGGTCCATGCGAGAAGCAGGAGGATGGGCACGTTTGGAGATGTTGGGCAGAGAAAGTCTTCAAGGAGGAGCGCAGAGCTGAGGGAAACACGTGAAGGGGCTTGGCTGGGGAGGAGAGCACGGCTCTAGCTCGGGCTAGAGATGTTGGTTTTGCCCGGATGCCCAAGGAGAGAAAGGCCAGAGTGCTGGTTTGCAAATAGCAAAGAGCAGCAGCAGCAGGCAGGGTCACTAGACGTCTCATGGCAAGCTGGATCTTGCACCGATTCCTGCTTGTAGAGCAGGGCCAGGGTGGAAAAACCTCACACGGTGCCTCTCTCTGGTGTGTTTCCATCCCCTGCAAATCTAAAGTGGGTTAGCCTAGGTCCTCAGCCAGCAAAAACTGTTTAACACCCTGGTCTGTGCAGCAGAGTCAACCAGCAAGAGGTCTCGCCTGCTGTTTCCAGGGAGAGGTGGAAGGAGAAGGAGACACCTTGCACCAAAATTTTCTTGTCTGCACCCATTTGCAGAGTCTTAAGAGCCCAGCTCCTTACCCAAACAGGGCTCGGGAGGCTCAGAGCACCAGCAGAGCTTTGCATTTCCAGATACCATCACTCCTGCCTGCAGAGGAGAGCGGAGGACTCATCCCTCCTGGGATCAGGCTGGTCAAAACTCATGTCTTCATTACACGAAAGCCTCCTCTCCTGTAACACGCTGTCCTATCCTAGCCCTGGCCTCTTCTAGCATATGCTTTTCTAAGAACCCCATCCTAACAGAACCCTAACACTTGGGATGTTCTCTAGTTGTTTAGACATCAAAACCACATCTCATTAGACAGCAGATTATTTCATTCTTAAAAAAAATCAGTAACTCAGAAGGAACTATTTTTTCTAGTGTATTCTATTGCTCAATAAAATCATAACTGCTGATTGTGGAAGTGCCTCACGTGATTTATTCGGTCACATCCAGAGCCAATGCTGTGCTCGGGAAAAAAAAAATCCTCTTGGAAACTTTAAACAATACAGGACCACTGAGGATGAGGATGGAGGAGATGGTGAAACCGGCTAGGACATGAGCATGACCATCCCGATTTGGCCCTGAGGTCAAGAACTTATATTCAAATTCAGAGTTCGGGTGGGATTTGGCATGAAGGCTGCCTCAAATCCAGATTGCAGCGTTAGGTTCATCTTTGCTGTTCTTGTTTCTCACATCAGTTCAGAAACAGAGCTGAGCCTAGAGGAAGAGCTGCGAGGACACCGAAGGGGCTCACTGTAGCTGCTTTGGAGGAAAGGAGCTGGAATTAGGCCTATTTATTCCATAGTTTTTGTCTAACCATGAGATTTTGTCTCAAAACTATTTTCTGTCTACTGACAGCCCATCCAGAGGCATCGTAAGGAGCTTCCAGTTGTTTCTCCAACAGGGAAATTGCTCCAAATCTCACTTTGGTGCAGACTTTAGGTGTCATCCCAGAGGCCTTAACAGACCTCATTTAGCAGAACAAGGATCCTATCAGTTCATGCAAATAAAACCAACAAAAGGCAACAGACAAAATCTATAAGAATGAATCACACAGGTTGTCCCAGGCCAAATAACAAAATGACAGGCAAGGAAGAACAGTCTTTGGCTAGACATTGCATTAAAACAACAGACCACAGTTTTCCAGAGTAAACATTAATTGCCTCATAGATAAACTCATTCTGCACCAGATGAGAGGACATAGAGCTCAAAGAAAAAAAAAATACCTGGCCACAATATTAGGACTTTTATTTGATCCTACAACAAACTTTACCCCAACACAAACACAAAAAATAGGCCATTGCGAATCGTTGGCCCACAGCTCCCTTCGTGCAGCAGATGCTTTAACCTGCTTAGGAAATTAATGATGAGTTTAAGCCCCTGAAGAAACTCAGGCCTTAGTTCGGTTTCGTTTGTGCTCGGGTTACACTCCAGTATAACAAGTTTGTACATTTTACCAGGTAGTTTGAGTAAAGCCTCAGTTGCTCAATATATTATAGAAATATTTCCATATTGCCCCCCACTTATATCATTCCTCCTCCTGGCACTCTTGACCCCCAACAGGACATCTGACCCTGGGGACCACAGAAAATAGACTGATTGCCTATTTTCTAGTGTGGACAATTTATCTTTTTGCCAATCTAGGGACATTGCAGTGTAGACAATTTATCTTTTTGCCGATCTAGAGACTGATCCACAGGTTGTCTCAATTCATTTTGTTGCACTAAGCAATAGCAGTGTATGCTGACAACATAGACTTCTATCATCCTCAATAAAGATATGTAGCAGACATTCACTTCTATGTCTTATAGAGGCAAAAGCAGTGATGCTAGCTCCAAAATGCACAGATCCAGAACAATTTCAATATAGTTTTGTCTCTTTTCCCTGTATGGAAAGTAGTGTGTAAAATAGTACGTAATAGTATGTGAAATAGCGAGCGCCACTGCATTGATGTTACAGAAGAGCAATTGCAGTAACAAATACATCTAACTGGGAGCTGTTTATCATCAAAGAAGGCGTTTTTACAAGGTGGCTTTTCAGTAACGTTCCTCGTTAGTTCATCCAGCTCCTCTGTGGATGAAACTCGCTGCAATTCCACTGCAGCAGGAGACGTATCCTCGCTAAACTGCGTAATTAACTGCTGGAAAAGGGCTGGGAGGAGGAAAGCTGCTTGATTGGCAAGCGTGGCTCCAGGGAAGCCACCGCTGCGCCGCGTCTAGCAGGAGGAAACCACAGGCACGCAGCTGCGACCAGCCCTGAGAAATGCAGAAACATCTTCCCCCCTGGGATTCTGCTCTGCGAGACGCAGGCCAAACCGTGACGCGTGTGAATAAGAAGTTTGTTTTTGGAAATATTTCAGGGCAGGCTCGATGATTATGGGCGAATTGTCTTTTATAGCCGCGAGTGCTTTCTGTAGAGGGCAACGTAAGGGAAGCAGCAGATAAAGATGTTCCACCTTTTCCACCTTCCATGTTTTGCTGAACTCAATGAGGAGGGCTCCTTGGCCCCCAAGCATTAGATTTAAAGCAAAGCTGGAACGCCGAAATATCCAGGGGAAAGTTGGAAGATCTATAGCAAAAATCAGGCAGCTAAACTCCAGCTGTGGCAAAGAAATCCCTACAGGAGTTCACAGCCACTTCTGTTGCATGCGTTGATCAGAACTAAGCAGTCAGCGTGGGTTTTGAGCCCCCACGCACTGCTAACAACTAATGGTTGACCACGAGGCACAGACTAGTCGGGTCAAGCCAAAGGAGCCTTCCCATGAAGGCTCACCACGACCTTAAGACCATCTGGAAAAGAGCTGGAGGGAAAGAAATATATATACAAGCAAATAGAAATGACATTCACATGGCAGCACAAGCCTTGCCCAAGACCTCGCTCTTCACCCAGTTGGATGATGATGCAATTTATTGGCCAGGTGCTGAATTTGTATAAGGATAATGAGAAGATTAGCCAAAATAATTGTTCGGGGTTGAGCAAATCTTAGCTGAAATGGGTGCGGTTCATTGACTCATTTAATTGCCTTCAATTAACTTGCTGTCAGATCTGCTCTCTTTTGTTGTGGTGAGCAGCAATGCATCCTGCATTAAACACAGTAGGCAGCACATTGCACTTTCTCCTCTATGATCTTCTTTTATGGTCACTGTGACCCACATGAGGCAGGAGCTGGTGTCATTAAATATGTCCTGCTACAGAGAAACCACAGTCTTCCTGATTTTCACGGGTGCCTGGAGGTGCCATAAGGACAAGACTCTCTGCTGTTGATCCTAGTTAATGAAAAAGAAAGGAAGGGGGAGAGAAAAAAAAAGAAAGCAATAGGTGTAACAACTTTTTCTTTTTTGCTAGCCCATTAATGTATGAATCAGAATAATCAGAAATAAAGAAAAATTGGGGATGTTATATCATCACTCTGCTGACTGACACGTGAATGAATCATGCAGAAAGGGAAAGGGAGATGAAGGGGCAATTTCCTTCACGTGCTGTTGCTGTAACCACCGGGCAGAAGTCAGGACAGTCGTCAAGGGAAGGAACCCGCTGAAATATTCTGAATGTATAAAGCCAGACGTTTTATACCAACATAACCGAGAGAAGCTCGTGACACCACTGCTGACAACAAGAGAATTACTTCTGGATTTTTCAAAATTCAGCTGGCTGAGGCCCTGACCGATCCGTCCTAACTTGAATTTAGCCCTGCGGGAGGTAGAGAGCCCTTCCAACGTAAATTTTCCTCTGATCTGGCGACACTTGCAATGTGAAATAAAAGAACCATCTGCTGCAAAGGAGGTAAATTTTACCCCGTGACTTAGTCACAGGCTCATGTTTCGGCAGCAGCAAATGTTACCACTCTGCTCCCAGCCATCTCCTGATAGAATAGTTTCCCTTTTTTACCCCTAGGTTTGTTCTTACGACATGGTCCTTCCTAGGCTCCATCTCTCTAGAAACCTTGGAGGGAAGGGGAAGCTCTGCCTAGCTCCCCGGATTCCCAATCACCTGCTTTCTTCTTCCTCATACTCCAGGGATAATCACAGCGGTTACCCTACACACAGCTGAAACATATCCATATGCTGCAGCAACTCAAGCACCAGCCCAGGCCAAAATATTTGGAGAACTGTGTTAATTCAGAACCAGAGGGATAATTCTCACCATAGAGTCACTGAAGATTTTGAGGATCCCATTGCAGGGCCTGAAGTTTCTAAAATTAGTTGTCCACCAGGAATCCCTTTGCAAATCAAGAGTGAAATATCATTAAACCCACAGAAGTGCAACAGCCTGGAAGAATAGAGGACTTGAAAGACAAACTAAATGACCAGTTAAACCATGAAGCTGTTATTCTCCTTCCAGACACTCACAGATCATAATTTTAGTGGCAGATGAGCATATTTAGCTGGTGGTGTCTGGAGGGATAATTTTGCCTTCATGTCCCTCTTGGTTGGCATTCAAAGACAACTACAACCCTTCAGGCTTTACACAAACTCAGTTTGTGAGGCTTTTCAGGCTCTGCCAACCACTCACCTGTCTTAACACCACTCTTATCACCCACTCATGGGACCAGTAGACAATTCTCCAGTTCCCAATGAACTAATATTTGCCATCCCCACTGCAGTATCAGCAGCTTGACCAAAATTTGGATTGGTGTCTCCTTCCTTATCACTTTTGGCAGATGATGTTCAGTTAATGGCCTGACAAACTGGAAGGGCATCAGAGGCAACAGATAAGTCAGCTCCTCCAGCCCCAGCTGCGATTCTGATGCAAAGGGAGCAAGTGTTTCTTCCAGCCATGATTGACCTGGATGTCTGAGAGGAGGAGGCATCTCAGAGTGACTTTAAGGTGATTAACAAGGCAGAATTAGCACAATAAGCCAGGATACTTAAGGACAGGAAAAGCCGTCCTTGAGCCATTATGGCTTATCTGTCTGCTAGAGGAACGGCAGCAGCGCCGGAACTCAAGTGAAAGCACAAACAGGAAACATGAATGAAGCCTCTGATATTGCACATTCAGTTAAACAGCTCACGGAGGTCTGTGTGTCTGTGAGTCATTCATTCATATCATCCAGAGCTCTCCAAGGAGCACAGGATGTACTAAAGCCTCTCTGCAATGTTTCCCAAGGACTTCTTGCAAGTTCCCTTTCACAGCTCCCCTGTCT